CTGTGTACTGCTCCTTTCTCTGGGGGATGGGGCAGGACCCCTTCTGAAATGAGGGTCTCATGACCCACAATCAGACGAGGTAGGTCAGAGCATCTCTTAATAACCAGCTTCAGACAGAACGGCAGGGGAAGATTCCAGTTATTTTTAGTTTCTATGGCCTGCCTTGGGGAGAAAAAGGAGCAGGAGAGAGGAGGCCAGGAGGAGGTCAGAGAGAGAGAGACTGTGTTTTCTGAAGCCTGCTTCTGAGGCCAAAAGTGCCCCCATGTTCTAACAAAAGACCGCCTTTCACTGTTATCGATCTGAAGCTGTTCTGAAGTTGCTTGGGGAATTGAGGACATAGGCCAAATACTCTAACAAGAGAAGGGCTGATTGTTTTAGTTACTTAGGAAATAACAAGGGCTTTCGGAGTTATGAGCCAAGAACCTCGGACCCATATATAGGATCTATAAATGGGTATACAGATAATAGCACAGCGCCCTTAAAAAAGACACCTGAGAGAGACCCTCCTCCCTTCTCCATGTGAGGTCAGAGTGAGAAGATGACACCCATGATGAAGCGAACCCTCTCCAGACGCCATTTCGGCTGGTGCTTTGATCTCGGGCGTCCTAGATTCCAAAACTTTGAGATATATATATACACACACATATATTTTTTCTTTTTTTTTTGAGACAGAGTTTCACTCTTGTCACCCAGGCTGGAGTGCCATGGTGCAATCTCGGCTCACTGCAACTTCTGCCTCCCGGGTTCAAGCGATTCTCCTGCCTCAGCCTCCCGAGTGGCTGGGATTATAGGCACGTACCACCACTGCCAGCTAATTTTGTATTTTTAGTAGAGATGGGGTTTCACCATGTTGGTCAGGCTCTTCGCTCTTGTTGGCTGGGCATGGTGACTCATGCTTGTAATCCCAGCACTTTGGAAGGCCAAAGCAGGTGGATTGCTTCAGGCCAGGATTTTGAGACCAGCCTGGCCAACAGGATGAAACCTTGCCTCTACAAAAAATATCAAAATTAGCTGGGTTGTGGTGGTGCATGATGTAGTCCCAGCTACTTGGGAGGCTGAGGCGGGAGAATTGCTTGAACCCGGGAGGCGGAGGTTGCAATGAGCCGAGATTGTGCCATTGCACTACAGCCTGGTCGACACAGCCAGATTTTTTTCCAAAAAAAAAAAAAAAAAAAAAAAAGAGAACCCATGGATTGAAATGTGTTGTAGTCCAGTGCAGTTGCCTTTCTTACTGATGCTCAAGTTATTTAATTTTTGGATAAATTGCTGTTTTAAAACAGCTTTTAAAGCAACACAGAGGGCCAGGTGCGGTGGCTCACACCTGTAATCCTGGCACTTTTGGAGGCCGAGGTGGGTGGGAGGATTGCTAGAGCCCAGGAGCTCAAGACCAGCCTGGGCAACATGATGGAGCCGTTGCATTCCAGCCTGGGTGACAAGCTAGACCCTGTGTCAAAACAAAGAAAAAAAAAAAAAATCAGAGAAGGTCATAATAGATCTTTTTATTTTTCTTTGAGATGGAGTCTCACTGTCGTCCAGGCTGGAATGCAGCAGTGCCATCTCAGCTCACTGCAACCTCTGCCTCCCGGGTTCAAGTGATTCTCCTGCCTCAGTCCTCAGCCTCTCAAGTAGCTGGGATTATGGGTACCTGCAACCACACCCAGCTAATTTTTGTATTTTTAGTAGAGACGCGTTTTCGCCATGTTGGCCAGGCCGGAGAAGGTCTTCTTTTTTCTTTCTTTCTTTCTTTTTTTTTTTTTTTTTTTTTGTCTTTGGAGAAGGTCTTGATCGATCTTTAGGGGGATGGCAAGGAGGACCCTGAACCAGCCTGGCAGATTGGCAGGTCAGGGAAGGTGTCTTGGAACTAGAACCTACACCGAATCTCAAAGATCCCCTTCCAGATAAAGAGGGCTGGGTCCCTCAGGTGGGAGGGGACAGCCTGAGTAAAGCCCGGGGCTGAGACACAGCCTGATTTGCAAGAACAAGCAGTTCTTGGTTGTCTGCACTGGGTGGGGCTGCACCTTGGACCCAGCCTGTTGGCAGAGGCTGGCTAGCCCCAGGACCTCAAGCAAGAGAGGGACAGATTTGCCTTCTCTGTAGAGACAGCCCTCTGGTGGCCATATGGAGGGTGGCAGGGAAGAATAGCCCTGAAAGAAAGCGACAGGCTGAGCTCCTAACGCAAACGCTATTGCTTTTTTTGCTTTTTTAAAAGACGGGGCTTTGGCCAGGTGTGCTGGCTCAAGCCTGTAATCCCAGCACTTTGGGAGGCTGAGGTGGGTGGATCACGAGGTCAGGAGATCGAGATTATCCTGGGCAGTGTGGTGAAACACCGTCTCTACTAAAAATACAAAAAAATTTGCTGGACTCAGTGGCGGGTGCCTGTAATCTCAGCTACTCAAGAGGCTGAGGCATGATCTCAGCTCACTGCAACCTCCACCTCCTGTGTTCAAGCAATTCTCCTGCCTCAGCCTCCTGAGTAATTAGGATTTCAGGCGCCTGCCACCATGCCTGGCTAATTTTTGTATTTTTAGTAGAGAAGGGGTTTCACCATGTTGGCCAGGCTGGTTTCAAACTCCTGACCTAGTAATCTGCCTGCCTTGGCCTCCCAAAGTGCTGGGATTACAGACGTGAACCACCGCACTCGGCATTTTTATTTTTTTTAATTTTTTAATTTTTTTTTTTTTTTTTTTTTGTGAGGAGTCTCACACTGTCACCCAGGCTAGAATGCAATGGCGTGATATTGGCTCACTGCAACCTCTGCCTCCCAGGTTCAAGTGAATTTCCTGCCTCAGCCTCCCAAGTAGGTGGGATTACAGGTGCCTACCACCATGCCTGGCTAATTTTTGTATTTTTACAAAATTAAAATAGAGATGGGGTTTAGTAGAGATGGGGTTTCACTATGTTGGCCAGGCTGGTCTTGATCTTCTGACCTCGGGCTGGGCATGGTGGCCCATGCCTGTAATCCCAGAACTTTTGGGCGGATCACAAGATAAAGAGGTGGAGACCATCCTGGCCAACAGGGTGAAACCCTGTCTCTACTAAAATACAATTAGTCTCAGCTACTCGGGAAGTTGAGGCAGAATTGCTTGAACCTGGGAGGCCGAGGTTGCAGTGAGCCAAGATTTCGCCACTGCACTCCAGCCTGGCGCCTGGTGACAGAACAGGACTCTGTCTCAAAACAAAACCAAACAAAAACACAAAAACTCCTGACCTTGTGATCTGCCTGCCTCAGCCTCCCAAAGTGCTGGGATTATAAGTGTGAGCTACCACGCCTGGCCCAGCCTTTTTTTGTTGGTTTAAGACCGGGTCTTGCTCTGCCTCCCAGGCTGACACAATCATAGCTCACTGCAGCCTCCCGCTCCTGGGCCTCAGTCTACGAGTACCTGCAACTACAGGCACATGCCACCAAGCCTGGCTAATTTTTTATATATTTTTTGTAGAGACAGGGTCTTGCTATGTTGCCCAGTCTGGTCTTGAACTCCTGGACTCAAGCGATCCTTCCACCTCAGCCTCCCAAACTGCTGGGATCACAGATGTGAACCATCTGCAGTAGGTGTTAATGTTGCTAGGGTCAAACCTTGCTTCATCTGATCTCTCCAGCCCCAAGGAAACATAAAGGATGGTGAGTGTGTGCCGAAGCCAGCTGTGTGCGTAACTCTTATCTTTCCTCCCCTGGGGATGGTGCCATTGCCCCATCCTGTTAAGTGCCCTTGACCCAGCTCACCTTTAGCTCTTGGAATTCTGCCGTCTACCCTAACTACTTCACCTCCACCTAACTCCTGCTCACTCTTCTTTTTTTCTTGTTTTTTGAGATGGAGTCTCACCCTGTTGCCCAGGCTAGAGTGCAATGGCGAGATCTTGGCCCACTGAAACCTCCGCCTCCCAGATTCAAGGGATTCTCCTGCCTCAGCCTCCCAAGTAGCTGGGATTACAGGTGCCCACCACAACCCCCAACTAATTTTTTTTTTTGTATCTTTAGTAGAGACGGGGTTTCACCTTGTTGGTCAGGCTGGTCTTGAACTCCTGACCTCTTGATCCGCCCACCTCGGCCTCCCAAAGTGCTAGGATTATATGCTTGAGCCACCACACCCAGCCAATCCTGCTCACTCTTCAAAGACTACCGATCCATGCATTCTCCCACCTAACTCCATCCAATGCCCGACAGCTCTTTGCTAAGCAGATGCCTTTATTTATAAACAAAGAAGTAAACAGGCAAAAGAAAGAGATTTGTCCAAAGCCATGCCACAGACTGAAGTCTCACTGGGAGGACAGTTCAGGGTCCTGATACCCCGTCTAAGGCAGCGGCTTTGTAGCACATCAGGACGGGGATGGGCCATGCTCACTTCCAGAACAATTATAGCTTTAACAATACTTTTATTTTTATTTTTTGAGATGGAATCTCACTTTGTTGCCCAGGCTGGAGTGCAGTGACACAATCTCAGCTCACTGCAACCTCCGCCTCCTGGGTTCAACAGATTCTCCTGCCTCAGCCTCCTGAGTAGCTGGGATTGCAGACATGAGCCACCATGCCCGGCTAATGTTTGTGTTTTCAGTAGAGAGGGGGTTTCACCATGCTAGCCAGGCTGGTCTTGAACTCCTGACCTCAGGTGATCCGCCCGCCTTGGCTTCCCAAAGTGCTGGGATTACAGGCGTGAACCACTGCGCCTGGCCTATTACAGCTTTAACAACATTTTTTATTTTTTTAGATGGAGCCTCGCTGTGTCGCCCAGGCTGGAGTGCAGTGGCGCCGTCTCAGCTCCCTGCAACCTCCGTCTCCCAGGTTCAAGCAATTCTCCTGCCTCAGCCTCCCGAGTAGCTGGGATTACAGGCACACTCCACCCTGCCCAGCTAAGTAACAACATTATGTTTAATTTTTGTAAGAAGGAAGTTTCACTGTGTTGCCCAGGCCAGTCTTCAACTCCCAGGCTCCAGCAACCCTCCCGCCTCGGCCTCCCAAAGTGCTGGGATTACAGGCAAGGCGTGAGCTAGGGATTACCATGCTAGGCCTAGAACTACCTTTTATTGGAGACACGGAGCCCACAGTGGGTGGAGGTCTCAGTGCCCTGGGCTCAGGGGCTCAGCGAGAGGCCGCAGCCAGGCTAGATGAGGGTGAGGCAGGTGGAAGCAGGGACTCCACAGCTCTCCTTGTGCTCCTCGAAGAGCTTCTCCAGGGCCATCATGTAGAGTGCGTGATAGTGATTGACTTCCTCTTCAGTGGGGTGGAGGCGCTGGGGGACAGGGATGGGGCGGCCCACTGCAGGGAGAGGGAGACATAGGTGGCGAGAGGTCCCTGATGCCCACGCGGCTGCTGGCAGCCGTCCCCCTGGAGGTGGGCACTCACCCACAGTGGTGATGGGCACAGCAAAGGGCAGCAGGCCCCAGGAGGTGGCTGAGAAGAGACTGCGACCCCAGAAGATGCACGGAGAGAAGCCCATGAGCTTCTTGAAGGTGAGCTGGCACCAGTGCTGCCAGGAGCCCGTGGCAAAAGCTTTCAGTCTAAAGATGTCATTCTCCCCAAAGGAGTACACGGGCACCAGGGATGCCCTGGAAAGGAGCAAGAGAGAAGAGCAGGCTCAGGCTGCTGGACTGCCCCAAGACGGGCACCTCAGAGGCTATAAGCCCCTCCCCTATATCCAGATGCTACCTTCCAGGGCCATTCAAAGCATGACTATGGCCTCAAAGAAAGATCTAGAAAACAGGATTCGCCTTTCTTTTCTCTCTCTCCTTCCTTCCTTTTCTTTCTCCTTCCTCCCTCCTTCTTTCTTTTTCCTTCCTTCCTTCCTTTCTTTCTCTTTCTCCCTCCCTCCCTCCCTCCCTCCCTCCCTTCTTTCCTTCCTTCCTCCTCTCTCTCTCTCTGTTTCTTTTCTTTTTTTTTTTTTTGAGGTGGAGTCTCTGTCACCCAGGCTGGAGGGCCGTGGCAGAGTCTCCGTTCACCGCAACCTCCGCCTCCCAGTTTCAAGCCGTTCTCCTGCCTCAGCCTCCCGAGTAGCTGGGATTACAGGTACTTGCCATCACGCCCAACTAATTTTTTGTATTTTTAGGAGAGATGAGGTTTCACTGTGTTCGGCAGGGTGATCTCAATCTCCTTACCCTGTGATCTGCCTGCCTCGACCCCCCAAAGTGCTGGGATTACAGGCACGAGCCACTGTGCCCGGCCTTCTTTCTTTTTCTTTTTTTTTCTTAGAGACTGAGTATTGTTGCTAGGCGTGGTGGCTCACTCTGTAATCCCAGAACTTTGGGAGGCCGAGGCAGGAGGATCAGGTCAGGAGTTGGAGACCAGCTTGGCCAACATGATGAAACCCCCGTCTCTGCAAAAATACAAAAAATTAGGCCACACGTGGTGGCTTATGCCTGTAATCCCAACACTTTAGGAGGCTGAGGCAGGGGAATCACAAGGTCAGGAGTTCAACACCGGCCTGGCCAAAATGGAAAACCCCATCTCTACAAAAAATACAAAGATCAGCCAGGTATGGTGGTGGGTGCCTGTAATCCCAGCTACTCAGGAGGCTGAGGCAGAATTGCTTGAATCCAGGAGGCAGAGATTGCAGTAAGCTGAGATCATACCATTTTGCACTCCAGCCTGGGCGACAAGAGCAAGACTCCATCCCCCCGAAAAAAAAAATTTAGCCAGGCGTGGTGGCGCACACTTGTAATCCCAGCTACTGCAGAGGCTGAGGCACAAGAATTGCTTGAACCCAGGAGGCAGAGGTTGCTGTGAGCCAATATCACACCACTGCACTTCAGCCTGGGTGACAAAGTAAGATTCTGTCTCAAAACATAAATAGGCTGCGTGCAGTGGCTCACGCCTGTAATCCCAACACTTTGGGAGGCTTAGGTGGGTGGATCACCTGAAGTCAGGACTTTGAGACCAGCCTGACCAATACGGCGAAATCCTAGCTCTGCTAAAAATACAAAAAAATTAGCCGGGTATGGTGATGTGCACCTGTAGTGCCAGCTATTTGGGAGGTTGAGACAGAAGAATTGCTTGAATTCCGGAAGTGGAGGTTGCAGTGAGCTGAGATCGGTGCCACTGCACTCCAGCCTGGGTAATAAATAAATAAATAAAAATTAAAAATAAATAACAATTTTTTAAAAATTAATTTTTTTAAAAAAATAAATACGGGTTTTCACCATGTTGGTTGGGCTGGTCTTGAACTCCCAACCTCAGGTGATCCACCCACCTTGGCCTCCAAAGTGCTTGGATTACAGGCGTGAGCCACCACGCCCGGCCTTTTAAAAAAATTTAAAGAGACGAGGCCTTGCTCTCCTGGCCAGGCTGGAGGGCGGTGGTGCAATCATAGCTCACTGCAGCTTCAACCTCCAGGGCTCAAGTCATCCTCCCACCTTGGCCTCCTGAGTAGCTGAAACCACGGGAGTACACCACCACACCTGGCTAATTTTTTTTTTTTTTTGTAGAGATTAGGTCTCCCTATGTTGCCCAGACTGGTCTTGAACTCCTGGCTTCAAGTGATCTTCCTGCCCTGGCCTCCCAAAACACAGGAATGGCAGGTGCGAACCACCACACCCAGCCAGGACTCACATGTCTTGAGACACAATTGTGTAGTGGGCCTTCTCATAGCCATTTTCTCATTCAGTCTTTGCAACAACAACATTGTGGCAAGGTAGGTATCAGCCCTCTTCACAGGTAAACAAACAAGTCTGGCTGGGCGCGGAGGCTCACTCCTGTGCTCCCAGCACTTTGGGAGGCCAAGGCGGGTGGATCACTTGAGGCCAGGAGTTCAAGACCAGCCTGGCCAACATCGTGAAACCCAGTCTCTACTAAAAACACAAAACTTAGCCGGGTGTGGTGGCATGCACCTGTGGTCTCAACTACTCGGGAGGCTGAGGCAGGGGAATCACTTGAACTGGGGAGGCGAAGGTTGCAGTGAGCCAACATCATGCCATTGCACTCCAGCCCGGGCGACAGAATAAGACTGTCTCAACAGCAACAACAAAACAAGTCCAAAGTATTGCCTTTTTTTTTTTTTTTTTTGACATGGAGTCTCACACTGTTACCCGGGCTGGAGTGCAATGGCGTGATCTTGGCTCACTGCAACCTCTGCCTCCCGGATTCAAGCGATACTCCTGCCTCTGCCTCCCGAGTAGCTGGGATTACAGGTGCACACCAGCATGCCCGGCTAATTATTTGTATTTTTAGTAGAGACAGGGTTTCACTGTGCTGGCCAGGATGGTCTCGAACTCCTGACCTCATGATCCGTCCGCCTCAGCCTCCCAAAGTGCTGGAATTACAGGCGTGAACCACCGAGACCGCCGGCCTTGACTTTAAGATGGGGGTCAGGAGTGAATCCAGGGCTTCTGAGCCCAAGGCCCCTGCTATTTGCATTATGGTTTGTCTCCTCGCGGGTAGGAAGGAGCCTGGGGTAAGCGAAGCCCGTGTTTCGCACCAAGTCATGCCCTGGAGAGCCTGGCACTGGTCTCTGGGTACTCAGATCCACCCTGCAGGGACCTGGATGTCTGGGGACTGAGACAGGGCATAAACCAGCAGAGAACTGACAGGTGGGGCCTGCATGCACGCTCACCCGTGTCTCAGCGCCAGGCGCACAAAGCCTTTGCGCTTCCGGAGAGTGAGGCAGTGCTCCCCCTGGACTGAATACAGCGCCTCATGGGCACCCCCGACCATGATGACCACGGCCTGCCCGAGCTGGGGCTGGGATAGGATGAAGTCCAGGCTCTGGCGACTCACGGGACGGAGTCCTGTGGGCAGGAGGAGGTGGAAAGTAGTCACCATCTGCTTCCACGGCACCCCAGCCCCTCACCCAGACTTTAGTTCCAAAACCCCCTACCCGCATTTCCAAGGCAGGGAAGCTACAGCCAAATGCTCACTGCAAGTCTGGCCAGTGCTCAGGCTGGCCCCTGTTCTGGGGACTTATTGTGGGCGGGGGTCCCCGAGGGGCTGGGGAACATCTGGCCAGAGTCGCCTCCTCCCATTTGGCTCACCAAAGGACATGATGTAGTCGCGGTAGACCGGGACGTAGAAGAGGCCAGCCAGCACGGCTAACCAGGGCCGGAGCCCAGGGAAGAGCTGGGAGAAGCCATTGCTCTCGGTGGAGAAATTACAGAGGAATCCTGTGCACATGACCCCATGTGGGTGGGCGCCCAGCACGTAGTTCCGGTCCGGGGGCAGCTCTGCCGTTTTCACCAGCTTCGGGGTATTGGGCAGAATGAAGGGAGGATGGCAGGCAAGGCACTGGCTGAAAAGAGGGGCCCTCCACCCCAACAGACTTCCGAGTTCAAGGTCCTTAGGATAGGGTCAAGGGCGCACTCTTCTTTTTTAAGAAACAGGGTCTCACTCTGTTGCTCAGGCTGGAGTGCAGTGGCACAATCATAGCTCACTGCAGCCTCCAACTCCTGGGCTCAAGCAATCCTCCCACCTCAGCCTCCCAAAGTGCTAGGATTATAGGCATGAGCCACGGCACCCCACCAAGTGCCCACTCCTTTTTTTTCTTTTTGAGACAGAGTCTCACTCTGTTGCCCAGGCTGGAGTATGATGGTGCCATCTCAGCTCACTGCAACCTCCGCCTCTTGGGTTCAAGTGATTCTCCTGCCTCAGCCTCACTAATAGCTGGGATTATAGGGGCCTGCCATGGCGCCTGGCTAATTTTTTTTGTAATTTTTAGTAGAGACGGGGTTTCACCATCTTTGCCAGACTGGTCTTGAACTCCTGACCTCATGATCCACCCACCTCAGCCTCCCAAAGTGCTGGGATTACAGGCATGAGCCACCATGCCTGGCCCCAAGGGCCCACTCTTAAACACCTTCCACTCCCAGGCTGGGCTCAGTGGCTCATGGCTGTAATCCTGGCACTTTGGGAGGCCAAGGTGGGCAGATCACTTGAGGCCAGGAGTTTAAAACCAGCCTGGCCAACATGTTGAAACCCTGTCTCTACTAAAACTACAAAAATTAGCAGGGAATGGTTGAGGGGGCCTATAATCCCAGCTACCTGGGAGGCTGAAGCACAAGAATAGCTTGAACTCGGGAGGTGGAGGTTGCAATGAGCAAATTGCACCACTGCACTCCAGCCTGGGTGGCAAAGGGAGACAGCCTCAAAACAAAATAAACAAACAAACAAACAAAAACCCCACCACCCACTCCCTGTCCGCCTGCCTGAGATTAGCCAGCAGGGACTCAGGCCCCAGCACAGGGAAGCACTCCTAGGAGTGGGAGATGGGGAGAGGGAGGAAGCAACATCTCTGCAGGGTGACCCATCACCTTAACAGGATAATAGTCTCTTAGTTGTCTCCAAATGGCCTGGTTCCTCATCCACTCAGAACGCCTTCCACCTGCAGACAATGAGATCCTGGTGGAAGGACCCCCGCGGCCCCCTCCTCTCACCCCCCAAGTCCTCACCATCTCCTACCTGGGCCCCCGTCCGGAGCTCACCTTGGTTGGGTGTGTCCCAGTCCACGTAGAGCCACACCAAGTATAAAACCGAGAAGGGCCAGAGTGACGTGAAGAGGAGGATGAGGACAAGAAGGGAGAAGAAAGGGCCTGGGTGAAGGGTGAGAAAGAAGAGTTCACTTCTTTTTTGAGACGGAGTCCTGCGCTGTCACCCAGGCTGGAGTGCAGTGGCGCAATCTCAGCTCACTCCAGCCTCCGCCCTCAGGTTCAAGCAATTCTCCTGCCTTAGCCTATGCATTAGCTGGAATTACAGGCGCCTGCCACCATGCCTGGCTAATTTTTTTGTTTTAAGTAGAGACCGGGTTTCACCATGTTGGCCAGGCTGGTCTCGAACTCCTGACCTCAGGTGATCCACCTGCCTTGGCTTCCCAAAGTGCTGGGATACAGGCATGGGCCACTGCCTCCAGTCACAAGTTCACTTCAGAAATGCCGTCATTCCCTCCAGGCGCTCCCTTCCCTTCCTCCCCTGCAGAACATCCAGCCATCTCCTCTGGCCCTCTCCTGTCACCTGGTCACTGTCCTCAGGCATGCAAGCCAGGAGCCCAGCCACTCCGTCCAAGCCCTACTCCCCTGGCAGACCCCAAGCACCCTTGCCTCCCTCTCTCTCACCCATGAAGAGGAAAGTAAGCACATATTGGTAAGCGCCCACTGCTTCCAGATGCTGCTTCTGCGGAGTTTTGGAGGTGGTGGGGGGCGGCGGGGCTGTGGACATTCCCATTGCAGAAGCTCCCCTCTTCCAGCAGAAGCCCGAACCCGGAGGACAAACGATGAAGGCTTGGGTGTGGACCGCAGACTTTCTCCCTACAGGAGCCAGCCTTGGGGGCCTGGCTAAGTTGCAAATCACCTCCCGGAATAGCCTGTGTCCCCAGGTGTGTGAGTGGGGAGATCTTTGGGTCTCCCCAGAGAGAGAAATGTCTCCAAGTTTTTTCTCAGCCTGACCTTTGAACTTTGTAAGTTAGTCACCAGCCTGGGCTGTCTGCTGGGTGGGGCTGGGAGGGGCAAGGGGTGTGCAAAGGAGAGGCGACACCGAGTGCCTCGAGGCATTGATGTTGCGTAGACCAGAGTGATCTGGCTAGCCCACCCACTGGGTCCTGGGCGCTGGCAGGGCACCAGGAGCGCTGCTGAGACTATTTGACCTCTAGTGGGGGAGCAGGGCCCTGAGCAGTTTGCATCTCCAGGAACATCAAGCTCACCACCCCTGCCTGGACCTCCCCCTGCCATGCACAAACACACACACGCGTAGGCTGCAGGTCTGTTCCCCTGATTTATTTATTTTTGAGACGGAGTCTTGCTCTGTCTCCCAGGCTGAAGTGCAGTGGCCTGATACCGGCTCACTGCAGCCTCCATCTCCCAAGTTCAAGCATTTCTCTGCCTCAGCCTCCCAAGCAGCCGGGATTACAGGCGCCGCCACCTGTAAATTAGCGTCCAGCTAATTTTTGTATTTTTAGTAGAGACGGGGTTTCACTATGTTGGCCAGGCTGGTCTTGACCTTGTGATCCACCCGCCTTGGCCTCCCAAAGTGCTGGGATTACAGGTGTGAGCCCCCGGGCCCAGCGCTCTTTCTTTCTCACTCTTTCTTTCTCTCTTTCTTTTGAAATCTCACCTCTGTCCCACAGGCTGGAGTGCAGTGGTGCGATCTCAGCTCACTGCAAACTCCACCTCCCGGGTTCAAACATTTCTCTGCCCTACCCTCCTGAGTAGCTGGGATTACAGGCGCAGCGCAACGTCCGGCTAATTTTTTGTTTGTTTTTATTTCTAACGGAGACGGGGTTTCACCTTGTTGGCCAGGCTGCTCTCAAACTCCTGACCTCAAGTAATCCACCCGCCTCGGCCTCCCAGAGTGCTGGGATTACAGGCATGAGCCACTGCGCCCGCCCCCTTCCCCCGCCCCTCCCCGCCTTTAATTTCACTCCCCCACCGGCAGTCACCCAGGGGCCAGGCGAGGCCAGGCGGTGGGGTGCGCCTAGGTGAGGACTGGGTGCCTGTGGGCGGAAACACCGCAGCGCGCCTTGAGCTCCTGGAAGAGCTGCGTGAGTCCTCCACGTAGCGCGCTTGCAGCGTTTCCACCTGGGTAGGGCTGGGCCCGGAGCTCCGCTGGACGGGAATCGCCGCCCTCACTGCGGGCGGGAAGGGAGGCGCCCGGGGCTGGAATCTGGAATCCTCCGCCCGCTACCCCCCTTCCCTCCCTTCTGCCCGCGGGGATCAGAGTTCAGGGCTGGCGCAGTGGCCAAAGGCCAGCCTAGGTGGCGAGGCCTCAACCTGGGACGGGGAAGGAGCGCACCCCGAGCGCACCCCGAGCTCCGGGGAGCGGGCACTGGGCGGAGATCGCGGGGCGGAGGCCGGGGCTCACCGACGGTGCGGGTGGGCGCGCGGAAGGGCCGCGGAAGACCCGGTGGCGGTGAACAGCGGCAGGGCCACGATTAGCAGCGGCTGCAGCGTCTCCCGCGCCCTCCGCACCCACCAGCCGGGCGGGGCGGGTTCAAGAGCTGCTGAGCTCGGTCCCCCTGGAGAAGACAGGTATCAGGGAGGCCCTGGGGGAGCAGGGGGCAGCTGACTCCTGGCCCTGGGTTCCGCGGGGAGCACCGCTCTCCTCTTCCCCTGCCGGGCAGCTCAGGCCCATAATCCCTGTACACTTGGGAAGCCAAGGATAGCTTGAGGCCAGGAATTCAACCAGCCAGGGCAACATAGCAAGACCCGAACTCTACCAATCAATCAATCAATCAATCAATCAATCATAGCTGAGTGTAGTGGCACATACCTGTAATCTCAACCATTTGGGAGGCTGAGGCAGGAGAACTGCTTGAGCCCAGGAGGTTGAGGTTGCAGTGAGCCGTGATTGTACCACTGCACTCCAGCCTGGGCAAACAGAGGGAGATCCTGTCTCAACAAAACAAAACAAAACTCAAAAAACAAAGCAACAAACAAAAAAACAAAACAACCAGGACCCTCTGGGAAGGAGAGAGGTGGTCTGAATGGGTGTCCTACGAAGGGCAGCCTCCCCCATGAATCAAAACAGCCTGAAAACCTTCGAGTCGCGGAGGCTGGTCCCTGAGGCCCAGGATCGCAGGAGCATCGTAGACCTCTGTGGGAGAACACTCACCAAGAGGTGTTTTCTCCTGTCCCTACTCAGCTCGCCACCATTCACAGGATACGGGACAAGCGTGGTGGGGTCCAGGGTGAGATGGGTTTTAAATTCTGGGCAGAAAGATGCTCAATCCCATGGAAATGTAACCAATCAGGTGATCAGCCCCACCTACCAGGAAGGAAGGCTCCTTAAAGGAGGTTTTCCCTGAAGACTGGACAGGAAAAAGGGATTTAAGGCTAAGCACAGTGGCTCACACCTATAATTCCAGCACTTTGGGAGGCCGAGATGGGAGGATCGCTTGACAGAAGTTCGAGACCAGCCTGGTCAACATAGTGAGACCTCATCTAAAAAAATAAAAATAAGGCCTGGTGTGGTGGCTTACGCTAGTAATCCCAGCACTTTGGGAAGCCAAAGCGGGTGGATCAAGAGTTCGAGACCAGCCTGACTAATGTGGTGAAATCCTGTCTCTATTAAAATACAAAAATTAGCTGGGCATGGTAGCAGGTGCCCATAGTCTCAGCTACTTAAGAAGCTGAGGTGGGAGAATCACTTAAACCTGGGAGGTAGAGGTTGCAGTGAAGCAAGATAATGCCACTGCACTCCAGCCTGGGTGACAGAGTCCATCCAGACTCCATCTCAAAAATAAATAAATAAAAATAAAGATTAAAAAAATGATCTTTGATGCTCGGCTCTGAAAAAGGAAGAAAAAAAGATAAAAAATGAAAAAAATTAAAAAGGGGATTCTAGCTGTGGGTGGTGAGATGTTGGAGGTAAGAAATGTCTTAGGATGGGTGAACAAGCCTGTTTGATGTGTGTGTGTGTGTGTATGGAGTTAAGGTCTCACTCTGTCACCCAGGTTGGAGTGCAGTGGCTCAGTCATAGCTCCAATCAGGACCCTCCAACTCCTGGGCTCAAATGATCCTCCCACCTGAGCCTCCTGAGCAGCTGGGACTACAGGTGTGCACCACCATGCCCGGTTAATGAATTTTATTTATTTATTTTCAAAACTGACGTTTATTTTCTATCAGCCTTATTTCCATGTTGCTTACGAGCCTGTGCAAGGTCAGCTTAAGAGCATTCAGTGGTTGCTCCTACCCATTCAGTGGCGTGAGCAGTGGGAGCTGCTGACCAGTCTTCTGTGTAGGAAACTGCTGGATCGGCGCAAGGGCCACCTGCACACCTTCAGACCAGTCTGCAATCTCAGGCTGAGTAGCAGAGAACTCAGGAGCCGGAGCAGTCCATCCACCCTGAAATTCCTCCTTGCTCACAGACTTTTCAGACGTAGCCTGCTCTTCTTTTTCAATCTCTTCAGGATCTCTGCAGAAGTAGAGATCAAGGCTGGGTGTGGTGGCTCACACCTGTAATCCCAGCACTTTGGGAGCCCGAGGCGGGTGGATCACCTGAGGTCAGGAGTTCGAGACTAGCCTGGCCAACATGATGAAACCCTGTCTCTACTAAAAATACAAAAATTAGCCGGGCGTGGTGGCACATGCCTGTAATCCCAGCTACTTGGGAGGCTGAGGCAGGAGAATCACTTGAACCCAGGAGGCGGAGGTTGTGGTGAGCCGAGATCATTCCATTGCACTCCAGACTGGGCAACAAGAGCAAAACTCCATCTCAAAAAAAAAAAAAAAAAAAGAAAAAAAGAAGAAGAGGCCTGGGTGAGGTGGCTCACGCCTATAACCCCAGCACTTTGGGAGGCTGAAGTGGGCAGATCACCTGAGGACAGGAGTTCGAGACCAGCCTGGCCAACATGGTGAAATGCCATCTCTGAAAAAAAAAAAGAAGTAGAGATCAGGCACGACCTCCCACAGGTGTTCACAGGAAATGGTGCCACGCATGCGCGGAACTCCCCAAGCCAGGATCCATCACATTGAACCCACTGATGTCACATGGGATGGCAATGTCCACTAGCACAGAGGAGAATCTGTGTTACACAGAGCAGTGGTAGGTAGGTTAACATAAGATGCCTCTGTGACAGGCTGGTGGTCAGCCCTGGGCTCAGTCAGTAATCACAAGAAGCCGTGGCTCCTGGAAGGCTGCCTGGATCTGGTTAGTGAAGGTTCCAAGCGGCCAGCAATGACAGTGGCTCCAGTGGCAGCAGCAAACTTCAGCACGGCCCTCTGGCCAGTACTCCTGGAGGATATCACACTGACATCAGCAGGGTTTTCAATGAAAACAATGGCATGAGCTGCCAGCAGGAACTTCTCCCAGGTCCTCTTCACATTGATGAAGATGCCATCACGTTTCCTTTTATAGATGTACTGTTCCATCTGGATGTCAAGATTGCTGCCACCTAAGTGGGTTCCTTCTGCAAGGAACTAAGGACATCCTCTTCCTTCATTTGCGGACATCAAGGGCTCTGGATGTTGTCAAAGTTTCCCTTTAAGTTATGACTGGAATCCAGAACAATGCTGTATGGATCCCTCTGTAAGTAGTGCAGAAAGCTTTTTTTGTTTTGAGAAGGATTCTTGCTCTGTTGCCAAGGCTAGAGTGCAGTGGCATGATCTCAGCTCACTGCAACCTCTGCCTCCCGGGTTCAAGTGATTCTCCTGTCTCAGCCTCCTGAGTAGTTGGGACTACAGGCGCCCACCACCACCACACCTGGCTAACTTTTGTATTTTTTGTAGAGACAGGGTTTTACCATGTTGGCCAGGAATGTCTTGATCTCCTGACCTCGTGATCCGCCCTCCTCGGCCTCCCAAAGTGTTGGGAGTACAGGCGTGAGCCACTGTGCCTGGCTGGAAAGTTGTTTTTTTTTTTTTTTTTTTTTTTTTTTTTGAGATGGAGTCTTGTTCTGTTGCCCAGACTGGAATGCAGTGGTGTGGTCTCAGCTCACTG